GCAGATTGCAACCGAAACGAGTTGCTGCATCTCTCACGGTGAAATCATTACAGAGCTGGTGAATAATATATGCTTTTTCGGAGAGAGTAAATCTTTTCTGCATGCTTTTGACAATGGGTGCGGAGTTCAACATCATTGCGCGCAATGTGGACGGCTGCGGGGCGGGATGAAGAAGAGATTATACTCGTGCTCTTGAAGCATGAACAATTTAAGGGAGGACAGTAGCGGCCGCGCCGGTCTGAATAGGTACACGCGTACACGCTTGAGAAGCCGTGAGATCGTCAGAAAATCGAACTATTGGCTTAACAAACTATTCAAATGCGAACTATTGAGGAGCTCCCCCTGTACCGAGCCAGTTCACAGAGGCGGAACTGCTCATGTACACGTGTAGCCGTCGTACTGGTACAGCAAGACATTCTTTGCGATGCACGCATCGCGAGTCCTAGACGTTTCCGCGGAAAGAAAAAGGAAACAAAAAAAGGTTTCTATTGCAATCCCTGAAAAATATTGAATACATTACAGTATTGGGGTGTGACTGTACTCTTCTCACAGGCTCAATCTGTGACAAGGCTCAAATTGTGACACCAAAGTTATAATGCCGCGCCTCATAGTTTCGCGCATATGATTTTGCTAAACTATTTCGCAACGAATTAAATATATTCGTTTGATGAAACATATTCACATGCTCTTACAAACGGTCAGTTTTCTGCTCATGCCTTTTGCAGAGGTTTCCGTCGCTCTCAATAATGATTATGTGTTGCGCAACATTCTGAGAAAGAACATATGCCTGTCAAAGAACCCCACACCTAAGAAATCTAATAGAAAATTTCTCGCAACAGGAAACGCAGCGACGGTTGGCAATTTGCAGTCCGTTCGTGCTCGTTTGGAGGGGCGGAATCCTCCAAAAGCGCCCGTACCCAACGTTTATCACACTCAGGAATTTAATGTAGAGAATGATACTGCAAACAAAAACATATTGACTCTCAGAAACGTCTGAAAGCACAGTCTGCAGTGTCGCCTCTCGAAGACATAGTTTGCGACGACTTGCCAATTTCGCAATGGCCAAGAGCCCGAAAACAGCGGATGCAGGTTGAGGAAGGCGAGTTGTTGAGGACCCGCAAGCACATGGCAGCGTCGGCTTTGTTGGGTCTCTCCCATTACAGATGAAGCGTGCAAAACATGAACTTTCTCCTCGTCCCACTTTGACCCCGGCACACTTTGGAGACCAATTCTCCCGTCCAAATAAAGTCTATACGCTTGCGCTTGTGAGAAATAAATATGAGCAACTTTTCAGCAATTGGTTGCTGAAGAGTTAGACGGAAATTGATAAACTCACGAAAAATTTCCTCGTATACGCACGCCAGCCTCAGGAGTATGACAGGTATAATACACTGCAGGCTTCAACACTTGATCGCCCGCACGAGTCGATGCTAGGCCCTCATCGTGCTCGTCGCGTGGCGCTCCCACCGCCCGCGAGAAGCCCTGCACCCCCCGTCAGAGACGCTCCGCGGCTACGTCGCCGCCTGCCTCTACGCCGCTGCGCGCGCCGGCCGGGGATGCTCCTGAGCGCTCGCGGTGTCCCTCTCTCCCGTTGCGTTCCACCGTGCGCCCCCTACACCCGACCCGCTTCGTCGTCCTCTTCCTCATGGCCACATGCGGCACTGCCGACGGTGGCCTCGCATCGAATGCAATCACCCTCTTCATCTCCTTATCAATCCCAACTGATCCCTTCGATCCTCTCCAACTCCCCCTACCCTACCTGCAACCCCCTTCCACATGTCCCGCACATACACCCCTGCTCCCCAACCTATAAGGTCTTCATCCTCGACACCACCACCACCGGCCTCTCCCCGGACTCCTCCTTTCTATCCATGCCAGCCGTCCGGGAACACGACTCCCCCGCCAAGTCCTCTTCCCCTCGCACTTCTCCACCTATATCCGCCCCATCCCACCTCCCTCTGCGTTCGTCCCTCCCTGCAATCCGTCGACAAAATCTCTACCCCGACGGGTCCACATGCCCCGACGCCCCGCCCCCCGCCGCCGACGCACGCGCCTTCCGACCCGCCCCTGCCGCAAACGTCTCCCACACACGCCGCTGCCGTGCAAAGCTCAACAACAACTTCGACCGCCTGTTTCAGGCCGTCCCGCCCAAGTCCTTCGGACTTACCGCTGCAGCCCTTGCTGCAACATCCTTCCAGCGCCTCCAGTTGCAATTTAACCACCCGCGTTGCGAACCCCTCTCTCTCCGCCGACTCCTCTCACCGGCGGCCCTGCTGCACGCCGGCCCAGCCCGCATAATCCATTTTTTTCTCGGAAGGAAGCGCAATCGAGATGGAAGACACCTGCAGGCGCGCACGTCAGCATTTCGCGATAGTCCGATGACCGTGGCCTAGGTTTTGCTTTGCTCAGAAATATTTATTCGCGCTTACTGGTAAAAGCTTCCATCATGATTTTAAGCTTCTCTAGCGCGAGCTTGTGCAAGGCCTCACGTTCTCTTGCACCCTCGTCTCTATCTCTCTATCCCTGTCAATGCAAACAGCAGCGAAACGTTCGCGCTGCAAGGCTAACTGCTCGCGCTCCAATTCAAATCTTGCCAAGTCGCCCTCTTTCAGTTGGTCCCCAAACGCCACTAACTCTCCTCGAAAACCTGAAGCCATCATCTTCTTGTGCTTCGTACGCATCCGCGGAGTACCATCGGAGTCGCTGGCGCTATCGTTCCCATCGCTCCTGTAGTAATATGGTCTTCTTGAACGGAAAACCGCAAGTGTATACCACTTCTTCCCTTACGTTCATCGCCTTCGCCACTGCTTGACGCGACCAAACCCGTCTCTTCCTCTACAGTCGCCATGGCGCGTGTGCCTTGGCTTTTTTGAGGTGGGCGGAGGCAAATTGCTTGCGTGTGAGGTCGCAATGGTCAAAAATGTCAAGTTCCGGCGATTTTGCAAGACATCTGTCCTCAAATAGTTTCTCACGGCTCTTCACTAACTAGTGGGATATGGGGAATGTTGAGTTGACATCCATTGCAGAATTCGGCAAAAGAATTTTCAGTTTAATTTCTTTTGCTCACAAGTGCTGAAATCATTTCTCATTTCTGCAGGCGTATAGTCACTAATAAAGGCAATTTTCTTCGAATACGCACTGCATTCGCATATTTCTTATAATTTATTATGCGTCCCACATTGAGGCTGTGAGAAGGGTACAGTATAAACCTTTCGGGCGGGTTGGCGCCAAGACTTCGGTTCAACTTATGACCTGGGCAGTACCGAGTCGTACCCTTCTGCGAACAGCGGTGCGGACAACACCACCCCGTTCCCCTCATAAAGAGAAGTGAACACGTGTACTTTACTACTTTACAGAAAAGTTCATTACCACCCCGTTCCCCCTCACACCCCGATCCCCTCAAAAAGAGAAGTGAACACGTGTACTTTACTACTTTAATCTTTACGATGCACGCATCGCGAGTCCTAGAGGTTTCCACGGAAAGAAAAAGGAAACAAAAAGAAAAGTTTCTATTGCAATTCGTAAAAAATATTGAGTACATTACAGTATTGGGGTGTGGCTGTACAGTATAAACCTTTCGGGTGGGTTGGCGCCAAGACTTCGGTTCAACTCATGACCTGAACAGTATCCAAGAGTCCTCTGCGAACAGCCGTGCGGACAGCACCACCCCGTTCCCTTTCACAAAGAGAAGCGAGAAAAAGAAGAAACAGAAAAGAAAAGTTTATTACAGAAAAAAATTCAGCACCACCCCGTTCCCCTCTGTCAAAAGACAGGAGCACTCTAGAGGTGTGATGTTGTACGATGGCATCACGGACGCTCCTAGTTAGGTGATCTATTGTAGAGTGAATCTCTGATTGAATGCAGTATAGATCGTACGGGTTGGTAAGAAAGGAGGAAGCTAGAGAAGACCAAATGTCGGGGACTTTAGTGTCGCAATTGGGACAGAGTACAGCGAAAGACTGTCAGTTGGGAACAGACAGTACTCGAACTGTAGTGCTCGAGTACTTTGTCACTTGCGACTACCGCGCTTTGAGAAGTGTAGACCAAGACGATCACGAATAAACAATTGAAGCTTTACTGCTACATTGGCAGAGCCCTTCTGCGGGGACTCCGTAACTACGTCTTCACCCGATTCGCGTTCCGAGCTAGGAACGACTCAGGCTCCAGTGCGCCTGCGTCAGAATCAGACCTGCCTCAAGAAGGAAAAACCTGGTCATACAGTAGAGGTTTTCCGACACCCTCACACCCCGTTCCCCTCATAAAGAGAAGTGAACACGTGTACTTTACTACTTTACAGAAAAGTTCAGCACCACCCCATTCCCCTCACACCCCGTTCCCCTCATAAGGAGAAGTGAACACGTGTACTTTACAGAAAAAAAGTGAACACGTGTAATAACGAGTCCCCTTTTTTCTTGCTTACACCTGGACTAACGTCTAGGAACACAACGTCACTTGCTTTGACCCTGTGTGTCGACGGGCGACGTCGACGGGCGCATTCGGTCATCCAGAACTCTTCCCGTTGTGAATCGGCCTTCCCTCTATTTTCATAGGAAGCAAAGACGTATTGATAGCTTCTTAGTTGTTGATGGTTAGTTTCTAGTGTGCATTTAGGCCCCGACAAAGTGAACTCTTTTTTTTTTCATGCTTTTTATGTTCATTATATCGCGTAATTCATTCTAGCGAGTCTGGTTCACCTTAGAAATACGAAACCGTCGTTTCTTGGCCGAAAAGCGGGGTGACGCCTGCCTCACAGCCTTTCGGTTCACTGCACCGGGACAGTTCATCCTATCAGGTACATAGCTTATCGAGACTTTACTCTGTAATTGTGGGGTTCCGACTAAGGTTAATAGCTCAGGATAGTACACTGAGTAAAGTATGGTTACGAAGGCCAAAGGAAACACGAAACCGCTCCGTTCGTCTCATGACTGCTGGTAGTAATTACGTAAACATTTGCTCATGTCTTTCGAGCTCCAAGAAGAAGGCCAAGGGCAACAAATTTGCATATACAGAGGAAACCGAGGTGGAAATTGCAGTCAATTAGAACAGTACCTCATTTTTGGATCGCCGCGATGAAGGGACAATTTATTTTTCACCCTTGCAATGGGTGTTCCTGAGCGTTTTTCTTTGAAGCAGAGACAAATCCATGGTTCACTGGTGACTCCGAAATACCCAATTTCACAACAGCAATCAACTATCACCAGCTACCAGGGGCGAGGAAAATGCCGCATGCTGGCAACTGGCAGTATTCGGTATGGAAAGGACTTCGGTGCGTAGGCCTGCTATCATGACAACCAGGGCTTCTAACAGCAGCAATTCCTTTGAGGACCATTCAGCAGGCAATCGTCGAAATCTTGGGGGCAGGGGTTCGAACAGGTGGAGGGGGCAACAATTGTTTCCACCAAGCCACACACTCACCAGAACAACAAATTCGCTACAAAATATTGATGGTTTCCACGTTTACTTGACGAAGAACATCTTCCTTGTCAAATCGGCCGGCTTGATGCCGGAGTTTCTCAGGATGATTGCCCTGAACGTGTCCTCTTTCGTGAACAAAGCCCTAACCCTCGGGATCTTGTCCATGATCTGCATCGGGAAAAGCCCTCCCACCTGGTAGAAGAATCGATCCCCGTCTCGAAGACGACGGAATTCTGCTTTCCATACCGCAAGCATGGTCCTTCCCATCGACGAGCCAGGGGCCGGGTCTTCCGCAACGAGTCCCGGCCACGCTTCCAATCGAGATACCGAAGAATAAACACTCTGTAGCTTGGCCTGCACAGCTCTATTCTTGGTGATCTGTGAGTACCTGACGGCCTTACCAATTTTGAATCTCTCACGAATGGCGTTGAAGCTTGGTAACGCATGGTCTCGTCCCCTCTGAATGTTCAACGCGATGAGATCGATACCTTCCTCCTCTTCGATGCGAGTGAACAGAAAGTTGCGAAGCGAATCACGCACCTCTACATCAATTCTCTGCGCCCGATTGATAATAGCTCCTCGGAGAAACACATCAATACCATTACGCCTCACTACGTTAGCACCCCTGAAGAACATGGACTTAAGATCAAATGGTGTAAGCCGTTTGTTTCCTTTCGAAGCACGGTTCACGCGAAGGCCGACCATGGTGTGTCCTACACGGAACGCTGCCGTGGAGAATATAAGAGAAACAGTGGGATCAACATTCCTTTTGAATCCCTTGTATCTTGGCAACTTTGATCCAGTAATAGAGGGGTACCATTCCTCGAAGACGATCTTTTGAAATTCGGCGATGTTGATCTTGCGTGCCATCTGGAACAGCTCCTCGTCTTGCATCGTCGGGAAAGCGGACTTGAGTTCGCGGGCGATGCTGTTGTGCTCTCGAACGAAAATGGTGTGAATCGCTGTGAGGGCGGGATGCTCATTCGCTCTATGATCACCGGCGAGGAAAAATTCCGGACCGACCCTCGGGGCGTTGTTGAAGTTGGTATTGAGTGGCAACATGTTCTTTCTGCTTGTCTTCATAAGACCGCCCTTCCTAGTGCGAAGAAATCTCGCACGTTCTTCAGACGGACCGTAGACTGAGACCAGATCAAGGGCTGATGGAAGCGAATTTTGGGGCCGCTGCTCATTGTTGAGCTCTCGTACACGCACGCGACTAGATCTGAAGAAAAGAAGTTTACCCCTGTCTCCGTTGGCCGTAACATTTGCAAAGATGGGGTCATCTTCGTCGACATCAATGTGAAGCGGTTCTGACTTGTTAAGCGGCGTGGCGACGATGGAATGGTCGATGAATTGTCCGAAAAAGGTGGTTATCTCATTCAAGTTGCGCTTATCAAAAACATCTGATGAGGAGCTATGGACTGCGTTTGAGATGCGTCTCGCAGACGGTAGGTCGGCTCCCCTCGGGATGCGAGTGTCTCGACCGGTGAAGTAGGAAAATTGCGGGCGATTTGTGGAGCCCCAGAGCCTGTGAAGAGGGGGGCCAATGCTAGTGCATGTACCGTCAAAGGTGCGAAAATCCAAACTGCAGTTTCTTTCAAACCGGTCGGTGAAGATGGGTGACTCAGGCTGCACGGGTCTCAGCTCTTGACTGTCGACACCATTGGGTTTTGGTTGCTGGGCGAGGGAGAGGGGGAGAAGAAGGGCAAGAGCGGACAGAAGGAAGAGGGAGTTCATGGTGCGAAGGATAAAGATTCGTCCGGGGTAATGACATTTGGCGACGGAAGGGCTCGGACGGGAGCCTTTTGTACCGGATGGTGGGTCGCCGGCGGGGCACACGGGGGTGGGTTAGAATGGTGTTTGAGGTGGGCGCCGCTGCAGTGACAGGATATTAGCGCGTACTCTGAGAAGAGTGATTCTATCGAGACAAACGAATCAAAACGACAATTTGTATTGTGAATTTTATTTGGCCCTCCTGTCATCGAAAGTAGTCGCTCATACCGTATCCTCCTAGCGCGGATGAGGAACGGGAGAAGGGAGGGGGGGGGGGGGGGGGGGGGCGGGGGCACCGCTTCCACAAGCTTCCACAAGCGGAACGGTCTCATTCCTAAGAGAGGAATTATCCCCGACTGCCGTCGCCATCCTTTTCAAGAGGAACCGGTGCAGACGTGACAAATATAGTCGAAACACTATGAAGGCAATGAAGCAACCAAAGCGGCAGATATCTCCGAAGAATGCCGACAGACATGCCGTCACGAATGCGGCCTTGAGTGTGTCTGCCATCTATAAACCGAACGGAGGTACTGCCGCAGTTCGGATCTTGTTGTGCACATACAGTACAAGTTACTTTTACACACGCCCGGAGGAGGGGCTTGCTGCTTTGTATGACAAATGGCTTCCACATTGGGACCAGTACCACAGGGATGTTGTACATGGCTGTGGACCGGACCCTGGGTGAGCGGTGGATATGGCCTTTGTTAAAAGCGGGATTATTTTCAAAAGCGTCAATTATTATAGGGGTGTGGGTGGCAACTTGCTGCCTTGTCATTTTGCCATCGACGGCTGCTCTGTTTCCGCCAACTCCTTTCGAGAGTATTTGTCAGGACTCATGCTGACTAGCTCCGGACAGCTGTCCTGATTCTTTTTGTTGACGCACAGCCCTCAGTGCTGTAACGGGGATGCACACTGGAGGATACCATCTCGTTTGAGTGTTACTGTAGAGAGAATACAGTACAGTATGACATCTCCTGCCCTTGTGGGAATCTTGAGTTTATGGGCAACATGAAGAAGGGGCAGGGACGGCTCTTCATGGACTGTGTCTTTGTCTTGTCAGTTTGACACCGATGCTGTGACCAAGATGGACCTCATCCAAACTGCAAGCTTCGCGGGGCAAAAGCAGAAGACCAGGCCCACACCGCCCGACACTGTCCCAACAATCCGTGATTATTTAATGAGGTGCACACAGTGTGTGCCGGTAGATGGCACAGCGTCTGATGGTCCAGGCCCACACAATAACATGTAAGGCGAGAAGAAACATCACGCACAGCACGACATCCGCTTGGGTCAATTCCATCAAGGCAGGTTTACAGCGTAAGCGTGGTGGCTTCATCACCGTTCGTCCGCACAGAGCTCGCAACGTGTTCCCGCAGTCTTGCAATTTGCGTGCAAGCAGGATGCTACGGGAATCGCATTCCCAGTACCATCTGTGAAGCAGAGAGATCCTCCTGCTACAGAACAGCAGCAATTGCCAGCGGGACAAGACAGGAGGCCTACCTGGCGAGTGGCAACAGAATAAATGTCATTTTTTCAAGTAAAATGCATGTTCGAGGGATACCTATCACATGCGATCCTTTTAGCAACGTCACCAACAACCACTACTGCCGCGTGCGTCACATGAAAACTTCAGGGTATGTCAAAAAAAGTCCGGCTGTCGACATTTATCCCCTAATCCAGAGAGATAGGAACGATGGACGTATGTACTGTGCATACATGCCCTGGGGGCCTGGACTCAGGGATAACCACCCCCAGCCTGCACTCTGGGAAGCCTGTGCCTGAATTTGAATACGTCGAACGTGTCGCAAAGTTTTCCCCGAATCCTTTATGAATTAAGTAGTAGCCGACTAGCCATACCCTTTGAAGGAGCTTCGTGGAGACTCCGTTGTCCCCGCTTCCTTGGTTCATGTGTGAGCGATTTTTGACTTTGACCAGTGTGAGGCGCCTTTTCCGTTTGAGATACATACGACTATTGTACAGTTCAACAGTTGGGTCGATGTCTTTATTGAGATGTGGTGATACGGCAGCCTCGACTGAGGTACAACTACAGTAGCAGTACCTGTATTGGCCTGGACATGTAAACTGAGAGAGCAGTCATCTCTTTCACTCACCAATGGCATACGCTCTTTCATTTCGATAAATCGGTGCAGAAAGGATTCTTCGTGTAACTGCCAGGTTTGCATAGTTGCTCGACAAGTTACGAGCTCACGCATCACGTGGTGGCCACATGAGTTATCGGGGTAAATGTTACTGTAGCTCCTATCAAATCGAACTCAAATGGGGGAACATCACCTATCAAATACGGTACGTTTTAGGCTGTCAATAATGGCGTACTTCGCGTGTGTACGAGAGGCCCACACGACAATACAGAACAGCTCTAAAAAGATCGAGAAACCAAGGCGTTTGTGAACGCGCTCTTTCACGATCTAACGAACGTGGGTTTTGGAGTTGCGAGGTGAGATCTTGCCAGCCTGGTCTTCAAAGACAAACATCAAACGCGCTTGAAGATGAAGGGCGGAGGTGTCAGAATGCAATAGGCACGAAGCAATGTGTCATTCAAGATATTGATGCGAGGAATGCTAGCCGGAAAGTGCTGTGGAAAGAGGGGACTCTGGTTAACTCAGCAGCTTATCCAAAGAGAGCACTGTTTCCCAGCCTCCTGCTCCCCCAGATATGCGTTCGTAGAGCCAGGATGCAGTTCCAGTACTCGCAATGAGACAAAAACCTCGCATGCATTTGCCCACTGAATTTGAGTAGTCCCTCTCGTTTTTCTATTCTCCTGTTGCAGTCGGAGATAAGCATAATTATCATTCCTGATTACCAACAAGCTCCGAAAGCCATACCGCTCAGTTGTGTACATTGGCTCCTCCTTCTCCCCACTCCCAAGAAAGTATGACGCAAACAACATGCAGCAATACCTTTGATCGTTTGAGTGAACGCGTATTTGATCATACCGAATGAACATGATTATCGTGCATGACATACTACCATATCATACGGCGTCTTTAATCTATTAACAGAGAGAGAAAACTGGGTCAGCAGGGGCAAGAAGACTGTCTTCGTCATGACCATTCAGGACACAAAAATAATGAACGATAAAAAATAGAGAACGGTACAGGTTCGTGGACACCTATGTGTCCAAACGCATCGCCTAATCTGTTCCTCGTAGTGTCTATAGCATCTTTCCAAATCAAAAAAGTAGACAGTAATACTAAGAGCATCTCCGCCGGCGAGGGTCTATGGGATATAATGTATTTGTCCAAAATGCCAGGTGGAGAATTACAACTGGCTCCCAGTCAAAAATTAGACCGCACTCGGCCGCGGGTCTATGCTATTGATAGATGGAGCTAAAAAGGGACCCCTCTCCACCAGTGACGGTCTAATGGTCTATCTTCTGCTCTCGCACCCCTGCCCCCTCACCTCCCTCCGTAATTCCCCAGCCCCTCCCTCTAACTGCATGTCTCGTATTGTAGTATAGTGGCGGTCGCCAGCTATGAGCTAGCTCGAAGAAGAGGTAACAACCAATAGGGGGTGTCCCGCGGTAGATCGGGACTGTGGTACAGCAAAGGAGAAGTATGTCGGCCGACTGTAAAAGCACGACGTACTGGTCGAAGTGCGGACCCGGAATGGGACCAGCACTGGAAGGGGTGGTGTAAAAACACACAAAACAGGGGGGAACCCGAGCCTAAAGACTAGTGTCAGACACGCGCGGAGCGCCGAGTAGCGGAAACTCCTAGAGGGAACGAGCGGGACAGATGTCAATAGTGCCGCCAAGGCTAGAGGCTTGTCGTAGCCCGCGACTTGACAATCGTCACAATACAGGAAGAGAGAAATAGGTCGTGCGACAGTAATACGCCCAGGCTAGAGGCCAGTCCTAGCCCGCGTGGTCGTAACGACAGAGTAAAAAGGAAAACAATTGAAACGTCGAGCGACAGTAACACGCCGAGGTCAGAGGCTAGTCTTAACCCGCGTAGTAGCAAGGACGGAGGAATGGAAAAGGTAAAGTAAAGGCAATAGAAGCCAGGGAAACGTCGCAAGACAGATGCCGACAATGTCACCTAAGTCAGAGGCTTGTCTTGACCCGCCGTGTCGCACCGTCGAAGGAAATCCGTTCCCAAAAGATCCTTGACTGTTTACTGTCATTGCCCGGCGCCGTCGCTTAAATAAGCGAGGTCGCGGGGTCTTGGACATTGTCCGTCCTACTGTACTACTGTACTCTATTATGTAATGCACTGCACTGTGCCATTACTACTGTACCTTGTCATATACAACCTCCGGGCTGTAATGTATACAGTAGATCTTCCGCCTGTAAGGCACACGTGTAGGCGTCCGCCTGTAATGCCCGTGTGAGCGTGCGCGTGCGCGTGTAATGCACACGTGTGGGCGTGCGTCTGTAATGAACAGGCGCCGTCGGGTACTGTACACATCCTGGCAATGATACCACACGTATTTCCACAGGACCATGAACTTCAACATAGACGAACTCATGCATGACAGTGACGATGACATTGGAGGACGGCAATGGGCAGTTTGGGTAGCGCATAAAAGTCGCGGGATCCGTATGACTGGAAATAACCCATAGGCAAGGAAGGGGAAGGGGATGGGGGCGGCGGTGGCGAAAAAGGCCGGACGAGAAATGACAAGTTTTGTGCTTCACGTGTGCAACGTAGCGAATAGATCGGGTCTATCGCCGGGTCTATTTCGGGGTCTGAATAGATCCTACGATAGACCCACGGTATTTTTAGGTAGGGATAGACCCAGTTTTTGTTGAACGAGTGGAGACGAAATTGTCTAATGGGTCTAAAATTCATGGGCCATAGATCATTAGACCCAAAAAACACCAACCGGTGGAGATGCTCGAACTAGTGGTTCCGGTGGAAATGGAGCCAAATAGATGAAGCCCTGCCCTTGCGTTATTTCAAGACTAAGTCTGGAGTAGTCGCCAAGTTTAGGTACCGAGTCGCTTTTATTTCAGGATCT